TAACAGACGCAAATTTGATAAAGATTGCAATGGAAATGTAGTCATTACATGTTATGAAGGTTTCAAGATGGTACAAGGGCTGGAATGTGTTGAGGAAGAATGGAGATATCAAAACCCAATATGTAAACGCACAGGTAAGATAATTTTAAATACTTGAATTACAAATAAACAATATTAGCTTTGACACATCAAATCGCTCAGTGAAGAGTTTACATCACCTTCCTCGATACATGTTATAATACATTATATAGTGGAATTCAAATCAATAAACTTCATGAAACAGTCTGGAGAGCTTAACATCTTAAGATTAAAGAATATTATTGTAGTGCGCTCATTTCTTCAATCAAAATAAATAATTGACAGACTACCCAATTTGATTGATTTCAATTCATGTCAATTCAATTCTTTATTCCTTTGAGTGAATGACTCATCAGGTACAAAATAGATAAAGATGGGTTTCCTTATTTTTTAGTGTCAAATTAAGCAAAATATTAGATTAATTGGTGTTTCTAATGAATTATCATGTATTCTTAATCATATTATTATGTTCTTATTGCATATAATTAAGAGTTTCAACCAATCATAAGTATCCATGTACGATAGTCTAGAAAAACAAAAGCTTTTTGACCTTTCTCGATCGGCCACTCATTGGAATTCTGTTGGTAATTCTCTTTAGCTAATTATGAATAAATTATGGACATGTGAGACAAACTGGTATTTTTCCAAGTCATTAGAACACATCTACTTTCTATTCATATAAGTATTAGCATTTTCATTTTCATAAATGAAAATAAGGGAACCCATCTTTAAGACCACCGTGTATGTTTTTACCATCATTAAAATAGTTTTTGAGTTTATCACTATTTGTATCATTGTTAGTGATTATTCCGGATTGTAAAAATTTTCAAATTTTGTCATTGATATTTTAGAATGTGGGTACAAGTACATAATTTCCCTCATTGTACATTGCATGGCGTTATCCGTCTCCATTAGCCCAATTAGAAAAGTAAGACGTAAAATTCCATTCATTTCATTTTTCAGAATGTCGATACAAGTTTACAAACGTAACAGGTTTACGGCCTTATTCCTACAAAAGAAGTTTAGTATCTGATTCAGCGGAATGTGATGAAAACTGTGCTAACGATACCAGATGTTCCACTTCTGCCATGACTGGGGGTACATTATGTGGAAGTTACGACACACCAATCATCTTCGTGTCGTTTGATGGAAATGAAGACAGATGTATTGAAAAGTGCAACGAGATGAGTGAATGTAAAACGATTGGCACTGAAATGGATTTTTTCTGTGTATTATTTAACGTTACCTTGGACAAGATTCCAAATAATCTGAAACGACCTTACCGAACCACTTATACCGTAGCACAGAAAATCTGCGAATAATAAAAAAAACATGTTTATCATGGTATAGACCTATCTCTTTTTTGTTTTTGGCAATAACCTGAAGTTTGGGTATTAGGGGGTGAAAGCCGACTCTAAGAAGCAAAGGCACAATCATCAAAATTGTTCTTACCTTGAGGAGGATTCGATCCCACGGCACCTAATCACCTAGCAGACGACAATCCAACTCGCTACTTTTTTTTATCTTGTAAATATTCATTAATCAAAATAAATATACAACACAATACAATACAATATTAAATAATACAATACAATACAATATTAAATATATAACACAATACAATACAATATTAAATAATACAACACAATACAATATTAAATATACAACACAATACAATACAATATTAAATAATACAACACAATACAATATTAAATATACAACACAATACAATACAATATTAAATATACAACACAATACAATACAATATTAAATAATACAAAATCAAATGCTAAATATCACAGTTATTATTTGTTTAAGATTAAAATATATACTGATATCACAGATATGGGCTCCATATTGGAGTTTAAGATTAAAATATATACTGATATCACAGATATGGGCTCCATATTGGAGTTTAAG